CGTTGGTCGAAGTCATTCGAAGTGCTCTTATGGCTTGACGTGATTGTTGTATCTTGGGAGATGATTGTCGAAAAATCGTTAGAACCGATGCAGGGCAAATTCATCTTAAGGATCAAGTCTCAAACACTTGTCTCGACCAAAAATTCATTACTTGCATCTTTCTTCCTACAATTTTCTGATTTCTTTTTATTATATTTTGATTTCAGGAAATGATTAAAATTGTTTACATGTTTATGTTGCAAGGTTCGATTAAAGGAATAATTTGCTTTCGTTCAAGAATCAAAAGAGATGAATCCATATCCATATTTGCTTCTCAAATCCTATTTCAGTAAATCGAAATTACGTTTCGATTTCACGCAAATAATCGGTATGCTTTGTGAATATAATATGCACATAATCGGTATGAATTTCCCCCAACAATCTTAAGATGAATTTTATTTTTGTGCATTTTATATTTTGATAAGTAAGTTACATGACTTAATTATATGGCTTGATAACATATAAAATCTATTTCATAAGCCTGACTATGGAATTGCACGTGTATGCATGTGTGAGATTTAAATTTGTTATTTGAATTATTTACTATTCACGCCATTTTAACAGTTATGCTCCATTAGGTATTATTTTGATTAAGTCTTATTTGTTCACGTATCGATTGAATTCCAAGAATTCAGTTTATTTAAAAGATTTAATTATGAGGGGCTTGAGTTCATTTGTCTTCAAGTCATGGCAGTTTAATTTTCAAAAGCATTATGTCTATCCTTTTTCTTAAAATATTGTGAATGGCATGTGAATAGATGCTTACATGAAATTATACATTGAGAGAATAATGATAGTAAAATATTATCTAATTTGGATTTGTTAAAATGCAACATATTAGAGATTCAAGATAATGAATAACTTCGGTCTTGTTTTACCTTATGTGGACACTTCTTTGTATGAATGGTTATACCCAAACCAACAGCCATTAGCGGCAGAAGGCTGCCAAACCAAATTTAATTTCTTCCATCCTTCTTTATTTAACAATGGGCTTCGGAAACACGTGGGTGACCAATTTTCATCTGTGTTGGCTATTGCTATTGGTTTTGGAAGTGCATGGTGCAGTTCCGACTTCCGACCATTGTTTAATTTTATTTGTCTTGGTATATAAAGTGGCAACAAAATATGAAAATGCTCGGACCTCCTCCATGAGACATTTATAGAATAAACTTATAATGAATGTATAAATATTTGGAATATATGTTGCTATTCCTACACTTTGTCCATGATGAATTGGATATCGTTAAAATCAACTCAAGTCCAATAATGAATGGATGGAAATAAGGAAATTATTTCTAACCATTGGACATATAAGGATGCCAATTATTTGATGAAAGTATATGAACTTTCATGAGATTCCTTTGATTGGAATATGAAAATGGCATGGTAAATTAGTTGATTAAAGTTTCTTAACTTGTTGAAATTATACTAACTTTGATTAATGTTGATAGCCTCATTTAATCCTATGGAATTAAGTGAGATGATTTAAGTGGATATAATTATTTAGTTATGAGAACTAAACCACTTAATTATTATAAAATATTCTAGGATCAATTTAGATGAAAAGGTGTGTCATTTCATATGAAAAATCATGACTTTTAGGTCTGTCTCTTCATAGAGATTAATTCCAAGAGGTATGTCTCTTCATAGAGATTAATCCAAGAGGTGTGTCCTTTTATAGGATTGTGTCTTTTGAGAATACAACTTTTCAACCGATGGTTGAAATAAAACTATCATGTGAAATGTCACAAATGTGATAAGTTGTATATGTTTGAAGAAGTTGCAATGCTTAGACCTCTTCATTATTGAATTGACTTCAATCGTGAGACCAATTAAAATTGATTTATGCTTGGAAAGCATTGCTGGTCTATATGATGGCCTTAATTTAATTTAGATGATCAAATTAAAATAAATTATGAGTCGACAACCAATATTTTGAAAGTACTTAGACTTTCACGAAATACTCGATACGGATATTATCTAAGAGATAAATGAATTGAACTATGAAAGAGTTGATGAACTCTAAGTTCAAGTATA